ATGGCCCCAGGCCACTCTGGGCTTAAGTGATGCCAACACCACAGGAGCCCTCCAGGTGCCAGACACACCTCCTTGAAGCCAAAAGAGCCTAGGCACACCCGGCTCTTTGGCCAGCTGCTCCTCTGCTTACCAGCTGGAAGAGTTTGGGTTTTGTCTTCAGTGTTTCACACCTGAGGCTTTCCCGCAGTTCTTAAGTGGACTTTCCCTGCACAATCACAGACCTCCTGTGACCACTCTGCTGCCCATGGCTACCAATGACACCCACCCTGGGGTCCCCATCATGTGAGCCTCTGTGCTGTTCTGAACCGCTTCATCGGGAAGTCTTAGGGGCACAATGTCATGTCTACCCAGCATTCCACCATCCCACCATTTCTATGTGAGCAACAAGAATCACGCCCAAACAGCAGCACCCCTGGTCACTCCTTCCAACATAGGAAGAACCACGCAAGAACAGAGAGCCAGGCAGCTCCAGACCACGAGCACCCCGACATTTGCCTCCACTCCTGTCCGTGATCTTCCCCCAGCTCCCAGGTCTTCCTTCTGACACTGCTTGTGTCTCTGGCTAATACTCCTCAACCAAATTCTCACAAGCTGTCCTGGTTTCTTTGTGAAATAAATTATTATTGATCTCTTTAAAGTTTCACCTCATCCGTCTGCCTTCCTCCTCCCAGAGAGCAGTCTCACATAGCAAGGAATTTGTTTTAAGAAAAAGAGGAAGAAGAGGTAGAGAATCAGTCGATACACCCCAAAAATCTGAAAGAGATGGAATATGCAGCACCTGGGCACGTGCAGTCTCCAAGAAGGCAGGGACTGGGGAGACTCAAACACTCCCTTTCGGTTGCTTTGTGGTGGCGGGCACTTTTCTTCTTGCGATGCTGCCCTCAGATCTGATTTTTACTGGACCTGCCCGGGCTCGACGCTCCTCTGAACCCATCACAGTCAGCATGACACTACCCCACGACATTCATGGACCACAACCTTCCCATCAATGGGCACTGACGGGGCTTCCAAAGCCTATGTAGGTGCACAGAGGGGGATGTTTTCCTCAATCCTTTATTTTTCCTATGGATATGCTCTCATCAGCCGCAGCACAGCATGAATTTACATGGTACTAAAAGGCTGGCAAGGAGCAGCCAGGTGGATAGAGGGCAGGACCTGGAGTCAGGATGACCTGAGTTCAAATCGAGCCTCAGACGCTTCCTAGCTATGTGACCCTGGGCAAGTCACTTCACTCTGTTTGCTCTTAACTCTACCGTTCAAGCTCCTTTGCTTGCCACTTAAACAGTAAGCACTTAGGAAGTATCTCCAAAGGGCCAAGCAATGGGCTATGGAGATACACACACAAAGAACAAGGCCCAGCACTCAGGACAGCATGAACACACGGGGCACATACGGAACATGGAGTCCCAACTGGGCTCCTGCTTGCTTTTCCGGGCTTTTTCCCATCACCCCCTTGCAGTGAGTGTCCCACCTTCTCCCCAAGCCTGGACTCAGCCAGGCTAACTGGGCCCCAAGGCACAAGGGGATAATACAGAGCCCAGGAAAGCAACATTATGGGAGGTTTCCCTGGACACACGTGGCCCAACCTCAGGTTCCAGGACCCTCCGCGTCTCCCCAACAGCCAAACGCCCCAGGACCCTCCTTTGGGGATTACAGACCCCATGTGAGCATGGCGGAAGAAAGGGATGTGGCTTTTTGGCTAGCGACCTTTGGCTACAGTGAGCTTGGGGCCTGGAGATCCTCATTCGTCTCCTTGCTATTACAAATTAAAGAGAGGCTTGAGTCACTTCACTTGTTTTGGGCCAGCTGCTTCACCAATTCCTGGCCCTGCCCTCGACCTGTGCGCACTGGCCCAGGACAATCCCCTCACAGCCTCTCCCTGGCTAGTCCCCACCCCCGCACCTGCTCAGTCCACCCTGCATCCCTCGAATCCCTCCTTCCAGTGGGGGCTCAGCTCCTCATTCACCCACCCAGCACTGGGCACCTAAGATTACTTCTATCATAACTCTGTGATTTTCCCAAGAGAAGAAGCACTCCTGGAGGAGAGGCTGAGTCAGGACCCAGGGCAAAGTCTATAGATGTGCACCTGCTGAATGAATCACCCAGAACGACCGAGGCCCCCAGGTGGGTTCAGCACGGGCCACCTCCTCTAAATCAGCAGCCCTGGCCTTTGCCAAGCAATCCAAGATCAGCCCACCAGCATTCACTGGGCACCGACTTTATGCCAGGCACTATGCACGCTATTTTAAAGCAAGCTAATGGAAAAGACTGTTCCAATTCAAAAGCAGCCACTACTCCAGCATTCCATGAATTCCTAATGACGAGGTCAGTCTGAGAGACGATAGGGTACAAAGGAGAGACGGCCAGGCCAGGGAGGGATGAGAGTCCAGTATTTGAACCCTGCCTCCGGTACTGACTAGCCATGGGCTCAGTCATGGAATCTCTCGGTCAGGACACAAAGCTGTGGAGCACCACGTGAGATAATGACAGACACTAACGCTTCACAGGCCTGAAAGCACGCCACGAATGGGTCAAAGGCCCACAGGCCACAGACTCAGCCAGCCACCAACCTCCTCGAGCCTCAGCCCTGCCAAGTGTACAGTGGGGATGGTGGCTACACTAGCACCTACCCCCCCAGACTCTGGACCACCCTCTGAGAGGCCATGAAAAGGCCGGCTGGGTATTCAGCTACACTCGGGAATTCGGTCCATTCACCTCAAACTCTATCCTGTGCCTTGCTTTTAAACATTTTCAGACTCACAACAACGTTCCCTAAGTCAACGACTTAATCTGTTCCCCAACAAAGCTCTAGCCACCTGGGTTTTGGTCTTCTTACAGCACGGGGCAGGCAGACAAGAGTACGAGGCACAGGGCAGAGGAGGACTTGTCACAAAAAGCTGAAAGCCCAGCAGAGTTGACGCGCAGACGCTGACTCTGGTTGCGAAAAGGACAACGTGGTAACTTACATCACCAGCTCACAGCCCAGAAACTAAGGCAGAGGCTCTGAAGAACCTGCTCAGGGTCCTCTGCCACCCACCAGACGGGCTAAAGTGGCAGAAGGGGAGAGTGACCAACGCTGGAGGGGATGTGGGAAAATGGGGACCCCGATGCACTGCTGGTAGAGCTGGGAATGGACCCAGCCACTCCGGAGGGCCGTCCGGGAGGGTGCCCATGCCCTCTGGCCCAGCAGTGGCACTACGAGGTCGGCTTCCCACGTGACCAGGAAAACCAAAAAGAACCGTTACGTTCTAAACTATTTCCAGAGCCCTGCCTGTGGTGGCAAAGAGCTGGAAAGTGAAGGCACACCCATCAACTGGGGAGTGGCTGAACAAAGCATGGTAGATGAACGTAAGGGAACATTATGGGGCTGTGAGAAATGACGAGCAGGATGCTGTCAGAAAAACCTGGAAAGACTTGCATGAACTGGTGCAAAGTGAACTGAGCAGAACCAGAAGAACACTGTACACACACTGTTCTGAGAACAACTGAAGGACTAAGTCACTCTGACTATTATAACTACTCAAATCAACTCCAAAGGACCCATGAAGGGAGATGCTGTCCACCTCCAGAGAAAGAACTGATGAAAAGAAGTGTGCATAGCATGGTTTTACACATATGGATATAGATATAGATTATGCACATATTATATGTGTGTGTGTGTGTGTGTGTGTGTGTGTGTGTGTGTAATGGTAGCCTTCTCTAAAGTAGGCTGGGAGGGGAAGGAGGAAAAAAAATAAAAAGTGTACAGCAGAGAACAAAAGAAAACTTAGAAGGAAGCACAGAAAAGCTTAGAAACAACATCTAGCATGTATTACATAGCTTTTTAAAAAAAAAGTAAACAGTGTGAAATGTAAATTCATGGTTTCATACTGAACACTTTTTTATGTTGTGCTGTGTACATGAAAATGTTCCTTTTTCTTGTCTTTTTGTGTTTAAGTTCAAAATGAATATTTTAAAAATGTTAAAACAGAAAGAAAATAAAAATTAAAAAAAAGAACATTCTCCAGAAGCATGTAGACAAATCTATTTGATGCAATTTACAAAACGTAATTTTGCTGTTTTACTTCTAACAAGTCTCTCCTCACTGCACTCAGACATGTTAAGTGGGAGCCCCAGGGCAGCCGCCACTCACCTGGTTTGTGAGCCAAAACAAGCCCCTCAGCTTTGCTGAGCCTCAATCTTCTCCTCCATAAAATGGGGAAACATGGGAACCAAATGATATAGATGGTACATAAAACCCTTTCCCACCATAAGGATTTACACATGAAAATGGCACCATTCTCATTGTGATCACCCACAAATTCAGTAACTGGAGAAAACTGAACCATGTCAGGCTCGGTGCTAAGCACTGGGGATACAAAAATTGGCCAAAGAGGTTCCCACCCTCAAGGAGCATCCAGTCTAAGTGGGGACAATATGCAAACAAGGATGGACAGGTAAGCTACACACACACACACACACACACACACACACACACACACACACACAAACACGTGTGTATGTTTATATTTATCTGCATATACATATATATTTGTTTTCAAACAGGGGACAGCCAGAGAAAATACCAGGAGCTGAGAAATGGAGGATCTTGCCCATGGAGCAGCCAGCGTCCCCAGATCGAAGAAGAGTGCTGGCGAGTAAGGTGTAAGAAGACTGCAAAGGGAGGTGGGGAGGGTTCCCATGGCCTCTGGTGCCAAACAGAGCACTCTATATTTGGTCCCAGGAGAGATGGGGAGCCACAGGAATTGACTGAGCGGGAGAGTGACCCAATTAGACACACATTTGGGAAGATCACCTTGAGAGCTGCTGGAGGTTTCCAGAAGGTTAGGGACCTGTCTGAGGTCTCCCCCCAGCTCTTTCTGACTCCAGCCTCTGTGTGATGCCATGGTGCCTCTTCTCTTTACATCTTTCACCCCGACGCCAATTTAAGCCCAGGTTTTTTACCCACTTTAGGACACAAGACAGAATAAGAATCTTTGATTCACTTCAGATGTTGTTACCTGTCAGGAATCCCGAGTCTCTTGACACTTCTATAAACAGAGAGAGTGTTGGCCACATGTCGATAATTGAACCAGAATCTTGAAGTACAGACCTAAAGAGTCAGAGCAAAAATGGGATTTTTAAAAATTTGTTCTTCCATGACAGGAGACAGATGAGATGCCAGAAGATAGAGCATCTATCTGTACTTGATCTCAAGAAATTGCAAGAAGGGACAATGAAATCCATTCTCCGGAGAAAGAGGTCGAAAATAAGCATTACAGGTTATTACACTTACACAAATCATTTTACTCAAAATACATCCTTGCCCAATTTCTTTGTGAATCAGAGCTGCCTGTTCCTGCTCAGAGGATGGGGACTGTGGTTTAGGCAGCCTTTCTAGCGCCCCCAACACAAAGCACAAGCAAGGCTGCACTGAAGAGTGAGTAAATAAGTTTCTAACACTTTATTTCTCTGAGACTTCATGTCCTGAGAATGCAAATGGGGAAAACCAAAACAGGCTTACTGGAATGATCAACTAAATTTTAATTCCCAAAAATTATCATTATCAATTTTTCAGATCAATCGATCAAGAAACATTTATTAGGCACCTATCATATGCCAGGCCCTGTACTCGGGGACACAATGCTAGGAAGGAAAGCTAACATACTGGATGACAGTCAGGATCTAAAAGGATCTCGACAGGCCGGAATACTGGAACAACCTTAATAAGATGACATTTAGTAGTGTTGAATGTAAAAGTCTCATACTTCGATCCAAAAAATCAATTTCACAAGTACAAATTGGAAAAGGCATGGCTACCATTTCATCTGGGGCAGAAAAGACTCCAAACTCAGTAGCAGTCAACTGTAAGAAACAGGGTCCACACACACTCATCTGAGGACAAGATCCCATTGTGACCCCAGCACTAGGAGGCAATCATCCCACAGTCCCCTGTGGTCTCTGTCAGACTGCAGCAGGAGAATGGTGCTCAGCTCTGGACAGCACACTGACAGACTGAACAGTCTCCAGGAAGAAGAGTCTGGGATGCACAGGACAAAAGGGCTTGGTAAACCTGCGGTCTGTGAACTTGGCTTTTTTTAGTATTTTGATCATTGTATTTCAATGTAATTTGCTTCCTTTGTAAGCCTTTCTTTTTAAAAATGCATTTAAAACACCCACCAACTATCCGAGGATCCACAGCCCAAAAAGGTGATGACCTCTGCGGTAAAGGGCCTGCTGATCGCTGGCCTCAGAGGCCAGGAGCGCTACCTTCAGGCACCCAAAGGGTCTGCCTAGAAGCAGAAACGAGTCTTCCCTGCCTGGCCCTGGGAGAAAAACTCAAAGCAGAAAAAACCAAAATGAAGGTTACTGCCAAAGTAGAAGAGGCTACCTCACAGGGACTGGCTCCCCCACATCCCAAGCTTCTCAAGCAAAAGCAGGAGGACCGCCATGGATGTTGTAGGGGGCCTCCTTTTCAGGCAGAGGCTGTGAACCCGGTCCCAAGTCTTTACGGGACCCATTCACACGCCTCTTTGGAGATCCTGCCTGACCTGACTTTGGGCGCCGAGCACTGAGCAGCATGTGCAAGGTATAGGAATCCTCTGCTCACACTGTGCCAGCCAGACCGGGCCTGCTCGCCCCCTGCTCTCTGGGATGCCTAGCACCAGCTGACTGCAAAAGTTTGCATCAAAGCATTATCCAAACAAAGCTTTAAGAGTTAGAAACCAGGCAGGACAGCTTCACTTATTCTACCTAGAAATGGGCCATCTAAATCAGTTTGTCAAAAAATAAGGCTTATGGAAAATGTTAAAAAACACAAGATGACTGCCTTCAAACACATAACATAACTAGGCCAAAGTTAACTTCTACTGAAAGCCAAACACGCTGAAATGATAAGAAATCAGTTTATCAACTGTTCGGCATTACAGTTGGCATCCTAAATGACCTAAGGGAGAACATGAAGTTTCTAGGCTCCCAATCTACACTGTGAAAGGTCTGCTGAGCCAAAGTACAATTCAGCTTGCCTTTACGCCCACTGTGACAAACATCAAATCAGAAGAGTTGACATTACAGAAACATGACAGCCGCTCTCCTGGGGGCAGATACAGATCCGCTCCCATTTCACTGAGTTAATCCAAGTCAGTGATGTAGCTGGAGCAGAATCTGCTTTGTTTGTTTACGGACCACTCACTGCCAAGGGAGGGACAGGGAGGAAGGCCCGTTGTGGTGCAGACACAGCAACTCGGGAATGCCTGCGAATGGATGGAAAGGGGGGACCGGCTTAGCCAGCTGTGCCCTCGACACCCACAGCCGCGGGAAGTCCTTACCAGCACTGCCCAGTTGTTCGTGTGTCCACTCTTGAAAAGCTGCTCAGCTTGATCCTGCCACACAGAGGGAGATGAAAAAGATGTCAGGTAAGCCAAGCATCTCGAGGACGAGCCGGGGCTCTTAGAGGCCTAACAAGGAGAGGCCACAGCGGGAGGATTTCGGGGTCCGGAGGCAAAGGGCTTGGGCTACTTCCTGCTCTGTGGGACCCTAGACAATCAATTATGCATTTATTAAGCATTTTTTAACCTGCTCTAACCATATTTTAACCTAAATGCCTGGCTCCGGGGCTACAACGAGGAAAACAAAGCAGCGCCCCAGCAAAGAACTTGCACGGCCTGTGGTCAGGCAGCCCTGAGCATATCCAGAATCAAGACAAGGAAATGGGGGACTTTCGGGACAGGTGCGATGGTGGCCTTGGTCTGAGCTCTAAGGACAATAGGGCAGCACCAGACCTGAAGGGGAGGAGGTGGCCAGCCCAAAGAGGCTATGAAGACCTCATCTCTAAAGGGGGAGGGCCATGGGGGGCCACAATGACCCCATTTCTAAAAGGGGGAGGGGGGCGCACGCCCACAACGACCTCTTCTCTAAAAGGGAGGTCACGGGACCCAAGATGACCTCATCTCTAAAGGGGGACCATGGGAGGCCATGACGACCTCATCTCTAAAGGGGGGCTGTATGAGGAGCCCCAAACCCTTCTCTGAACCTCCTCATCAGCTCCAGTGCTCACCACGTGAGACACGAATCAGATTCATTCTGCACAAACTTCCTTCGCCCGGTCACGCCCCGTGTCCGCTCCCTCTGGTCCCCCAGCCCCGATCTGCGAGGGATCCTGCTGCCCCAGGCCGGAGGGTGCCCCCAGCCAGGCCTTCCCAGCCCGGCCTTCCCAGCCCCTCACGGTCTCAGAGGCACCACGGGGTGCCCCCTCCCCATGGCCCCGTGACCGACTTCCACTCGGAGCCCACGCGCGGCCGGGCACGGGGGGGGGGGGGACGGCCGCAGGGAGCGCGCGCTCGGCCAGAAGTGGACGCTGTCGGAGGCGTCTTAGTGAGCTGAGCGCGGAGGGTCCCCGAGCGCCCACACACCAGGACCGCCCCTCCTCGCCCGCTGCGCCCACGCCCCTCGGGGTGCCAGCCGGGACCTCAGAGGACTGCCCCTCCCCCTGTACGAAGGAGGAAATTGAGGCCCGTGGGAGGGGGAGCGCACGGCCATTAAATACTGCCCTCCAGCGCTGTGCCTCAGTTTCCTATCTATCAAACCTCCCTTAGGACTTCCAAAGGGGGCCGACCACAGGCGGCCTAGGATGCCCCGCCCTCCCTGCCCCGCCCCCAGCGGCAGAGACCGCGGCGCCCGCCCCTCTTCTGTGCGCCCCTCCCCGCTACCTCGATGCGCTTGTCGGCCGCGCCCCCGCAGCCGGGCGCCAGCAGCAGCAGCAGCAGTAGTCCCAGCCCAAGGCCCAGGCTGGCCCAGGCCGGGGCCTCTCGGACAGAGCCAGGGCCGCCGCGCGCCGCCATGTTCGCCGGCTTCAGCCTCCGCCAGCCCGCGCACGCGCACGCGCCCTAGCGTATCCCGTCAAGACGCGCGCGCCTGCGCACTGCCCCGCTCCTTAGCACCCGGCCCCTCCCCTCCCGCCCGGCCCGATCTTGGCCTTCCCCGCCCCGCGGCGCGCCCCCTGTGGTCTGGGGCTCTCTCCCCCTGGCCAGGCTGACTGTAGTAGAAAAGATTGTCGCTGTTTTACAGATGAGGACACTGAGGCTAGGATGGAAAGGGACCTGCCTCATGAGCAGGAATGAATGGACGGGGGGGGGGAGAGGAGGAATGCATGGATGCTCCAGAGGATGAATGGATGGATGCATGAGAGGATGGGTAGATGGATGGGTGGATGGATGGATGGATGGATGGATGGATGGATGGATGGATGGATGGATGGATGGATGGATGGATGGATGGATGGATGGATGGATGGATGGATGGATGGATGGATGGATGAAAGGATGAGTGGGTAGATGGATGGATAGATGGATGGATGGGGCTTTTCTGTGTACTCAGGATCCTCAAGGCGTTGGCCACCTTGAGATTACAAAGGCCTGGGGATCAAGCTAGACATAGAGGACTCTGCATTCAGGGTGCCCCTCTTGCCCCGCACTCCCTTCTTTCCTTCGGGCACAGAGGCTCCCTGTTTTGGCCGCTGTTTTATCAGGTTCAGCTGAAGAGATAAGAAGAGAGTGTAAAGAAAGATTGGCATGGGGGCCATTCCATGGCCTGTGTTCACTCCATCCCATCCCAGACCCAACTGCCCTGGCAAGAGGAAGGATCCCCAGCCCATTTCCCCATCAGCCACAGCCTGGGTGGTGAGGTTGTCACAGTCACTGCTCATTCCTAAGTGTCTGTGCTCCAAGAAAAGCCCCCAAAGTCCATGTGCAGAGGCTAGTGCCATGCTGGACACACAGTAGGTGCCCAAGAAACACTTGTGGATCTGATGCCACTGCACCACTACCTTGGTTCTAAGACACTAATGCATTAATGTAACCACATTAGAGCCTGACTCCTCAGTTGAATCAGTCAACAATCCTGGGTCGACAGAGTTTGGGACTTTTCCTACAAACCTACGTCATGTTTGAATCAGGCATCAATCATCACTTTAAAGGATCATAGCATTGTAGCCATTGGGTGAGCACCTTTTTTCAGTTTGTTCTGGATCTGTAACTTGGAGGAGGAGGGAATGTCCAGAGTGCAAGGCCTTTTGTGCCTGGAAAAGAAACTGGCAAAGGTCCTCCAGGTGCAGCTTGATGGGAATGGCTCTCCTGAGTAGGGGTTCTGATCTCTAAACCCAGTGCCAAGGGCTCGGACAGTAAGCCAGCACCCTCAGAAGTACAACTACTAGCTCACTGTAGTGTCTATGTTGTTGGACAGTCCAAGGTCTGGTCAGGTTTTGCTTACCTGCTTTTTTTGCTACCAAAGATGAAGAAAGGAAGCATTTCCAGAAGTTAATGTGTAAACACAAGACTCACAAACCTCGTTTCTTAAAAAGGCGAGATCCCACGTACATGGCGGCTGAGGTCTTCCCTTCAGTTCTCGATGAAGTGGGAAGTTCCCTGCTCTGCTTCTGAGGTGCTGGCTCCAGCCACTGAAGGCTGGGGGTCACATGTGTGTGGTGATACATGAAGAGTCTTTGCCCTCTTTCTGCAAGGGTCACTGGCTCCCTGTATCTCCTCTTGCCGGGCAGAAATTCCCCTGGACTCCTCTACCCTTCATGGGTTGGCTTAGACTCAGTGACCTGAGCTAGAGAGAACAGAGAGGCTTGGAAGAGAGAGGGACCCAGCAACACCAGGGCAGTTCCACAGAGAAGGGACTTTCCACAAGATGTGTTCAAGGAGAGCCCACCATCCAAATACCTAGACATGTGCCAAATAAACTAAAAACAAATGAAAACTTTGAAGTGAGGGAAAGAAAAGAAATCCTCATCAAAAAAAGGTACAGGGAGTCCAAAGAAACAAGCAAAGAAAACATTCTAATACCACGAAGTCTCCACCAAAATTCAGGGCTTTACAAGCTACAGAAAATCACAGTAAGGAAGTGGGCTGGGCAGACAACCATAATTCTGTATAAAGGATGTGTTGACACAATGGCCACCAGGCAGAAGGAAACAAAACTTTCAGCCAAAATCCCCATGGGTGGGGCTGGTTTTGTGATGGCAAAGATCTGGAGGGCAGCAGAGACTGGACCCAAGGAGAACTTCCAGGTCAGGAAGCTCTAGGGCAGGAGGGCACTCTGCCACTGTGGGTCAGAGGTGGGACCTGAACCCACATCTTCCTGGTTGTAAGGCCAGCTTTCGCTCATCCCTACCAGAGGCACCGAGTGTGGTTGGCAGGCCACAGGTCACACTGTCACTGGGAAATGTTTCACAAACTAAAATATAGTAAAACATGGAGATACTACATCTTGAAACTGAGTGTGAGCTGCCATAGGGACCTTAGGTATTTCAGTGGCCCCCCTCTCTGTTTGAGTTAGACACCCTGCGCTACCTGGCTCCCTCGTGTTGCCTAAACAACTGGAAAAATTACTTTCCCTTCCTTGTCTGGAGTCTTGTCCACACAGCCAACTCCTACATCATCTATGTTGTCCAGGAAAGGTCCCCATTGCCTATTTCAACTTGGTATACAGAGCAAAGTTTGGTAGAAATTAAAAAGCATTTGCTTAGGTGGCACAGTGGACAAGAGTCCCAGGCCTGGAGCCAGAAAGAATCTTGGAGTCAAGTCAAACCAGACACTGACTAGCTACATGCATGACCTGGGGGAGTCACTTTCCCTCTGTCTGCCTTGGTTTCCTCCATCATGAAATGGGAATAATACTGGCACCTACCTGCCAGGGTTGTTGTAAGGATCAAATGAAATAATATTAGTAAAGCACTTAGCACAGTGCCTGGCACAGAGCAGGCGCTTGATCAGTGCTTGAAGTTCCCTTCGTTCTCCAACCTCCAACCCCAGGACCAAGCAATGTGTTTAAGTACTGGAGATACATGAAGAAAGAAAAAAGAGAGAGAGAGAGAGAGAGAGAGAGAGAGAGAGAGAGAGAGAGAGAGAGAGAGAGAGAGAGAGAGAGAGGGAGGAGGGAGGGGAAAGGGAGGGAGAGAGAGAGAGAGAGAGAGAGGAAGAGAGGGAGGGAGGGAGGGAGAAAGGGAAGGGAGAGAGAGAGAAGAGAGAGAGAGAGAGAGAGAGAGAGAGAGAGAGGAGAGAGGGAGAGAGAAGGAAGGGAGGGAGGGAGGGAGGAAGGGAGGGAGAGAGAGAGAGAAGAGAGAGAAGGAAGGGAGGGAGGGAGGGAGGAAGGGAGGGAGGAAGGGAGGGAGGAAGGGAGGGAGAGAGAGAGAGAGAGAGAGAAGGAAGGGAGGGAGGGAGGGAGGAAGGGAGGGAGGAAGGGAGGGAGGAAGGGAGGGAGGGAGGGAGGGAGGAGGGAGGGAGGGAGGAAGGAAGGAAGGAAGGAAGGAAGGAAGGAAGGGAGGGGAGGGAGGGAGGGAGGGAGGGAGGAGGAGGGAGGAGGAGGGAGGGAGGAAGGAAGGAAGGAAGGAAGGAAGGAAGGAAGGAAGGAAGGAAGGAAGGAAGGGGAGGGAGGGAGGAAGGGAGGGAAAGGGGAGGGAGGAAAAGGAGGAAGGAAGGAAGGGGAAGGAGGAAGGGAGGGAGGGAGGGAGGGAGGAAGGGGAGGAGGAAGGGAGGGAAGGGAGGGAGGAGGAAGTGAGGGAGGAAGGAAGGGAGGAAGGGAGGAAGGAAGTGAGGGAGGAAGGAAGGGAGGAAGGAAGGAAGGAGGGAGGAAGAGAGAGAGAGAAGCACATCCCTGCTTTCAAGATTGAAGACTCTGCTGCATTCCCCATATGCAGATCTGGGTCCCAGACCTAGCTGCAATCCCATGGTGCGGAGGAACACTAGCACGCCAGAGCTTATGGCCACAGGGAAGCAGGGACCCTGGTCACAGTTCCAGGGCAGAAAAGAGCACTTACGGTCACTCACAGATGAGAGAACAGGCTAGGAGTGTAATAAACACAGCTCTCCTTATATAGTACCACCTTGGAAGAACTGAAAACTTACAGACCCCCAGAACTAGCTGCACAAAAACCCTGAAGCTTGGGACAGTGCCACCTCCACCTCAGGAGCAGAGCCTCACTTTAATATAAAGTTAAAATAGGGGAGAAATAGTCAGGAAATTGAGCAAACAACAAAAAAGAACCTGACCATAAAATGTTACAATGGTGACAGAGAAAAGCAAAACATAAACTCAGAAGAAGACAACAAAATCAAAACTGCTACATCCATAGCCTCAAAGAAAAATGTGAATTGGTCTCAGACACAAAAAGAGTTCCTGGAAGAGCTCAGAAAGGATTTTTTAAATTCCATAAGAGAGGTAGAGGAAAAATTAGGAAAAGAAATGACAGATTCAAGAAAATAATGAAAACAGAGTAAACAACTTGGTAAAGGAAGCACACACACACACACACACACACAACTGAAGAAAATAACACCTTGAAAAACAGAATAGGCCAAATGGTAAAAGAGGCAAAAAAAAAAAATCCAATGAGGAGAAGAATGCCTTAAAAAGCAGAATTGACCAAACAGAAAAAGATATATAAAATTTCACTGAAGAGACAAACTCCTTAAACAGTAGAATTGGCCAAATGGAAAAGGAGATACAAAAAGTCACTGAAGAAAATAATTCCTTAAAAATTAGAATTGGGCAAGGTGAAGCTAATTATTCTATGAGACATGAAAAAGTAATAAAACAAAATCAAAAGAATGAAAAAATTAAAAAAGGTGAAATATGTCATTGGAAAAACAACCAACCTGGGAAATAGATACTGGAGAGATAATTTAAGAATTATCGGTCTACTATAAAGCCATGACCAAAAAAAAAATTGAGCCCAGACATCATCTTTTAAGAAATTATCAAGGAAAACAGTCTCAATATTCTACAGTCAAGGGTAAAATAAAACTTGAAAGAATCCACCGATCACCTCCTGAAAGAGATCTCAAAATGAAAACTCCCAGGAATATTACAGCCAAATTCTGTAGCTCTTAGGTCA